GTCCCTCCGGGCTGAGCTGAGTCCTGCCTCTCCAAAGAGCTGCAGTCCTACCCTCACTGCCTCCAAGCCAGCTCCCATCCCTCTCACAGGACCACCCAAGGCGGCCACGGTGGCCTAGCAGCAAGGCCAGCAAGTTAATTCTGACAGGGCACTTCCAGCCTTCAGTGCTGTACTGGTCTGTTACCCGCAGTTCCAGGGTGTGTAATGCAGGAAGCGGCCAACTAACCAGAAAAGGGGATGTAACCTGAAAAGAGCCCAGTTAGCACCCTCTTAAGCAGGTCATCTAGCAAGCAGTCTCTCGTGTGCCTTTGAGAAGCCGGGAGTGGTTGATGTTACACGGGACGTCAGGCCAGCGCAGCTGAAGCAGCTGGAAAGGAACTGATTAAAGCTTAACCCAACCCAAGCAAGGCAGATCCCTGGTGAGACACAACCCAACACGGCCCAAGGAAGGGCTGCAGAGGGTCCCAGCAGGGCTGACACAGCACGGCCACAGCCACCCTCCAGAGCCTGCCCTGGAGCCTCCCCGTCACTCTGGGCTCTCACACACAAGGTAGGCATTGCAATTAAAGTCATCATCCGAGATCACCTCTCCAGCCCAGCACAGGAGCACAGCCCGTGAGATCCATCCAGCTCACAGGGTCACCCACAGCCATGGAACATCCTGCACGCAGGGTTTAAACCCCCAATCCCCCCAGCCACCCTGTGCTGTAAGTGGAAGCCAAGCAGCGCTTCACCATATGGGGAAAGTCCTTCCCACGCTCCAGCACAGGCATCCAGCTCGGCTGCCATGCCCAAAAGTGGCTGCAGCACTTGTCAGGCACAAAAATAAAGGAGAAACAAAGCAGAAAATAGGTATCCTATCCTCATTCCTCCTCTTGGTCCTACTGCTTCCAACTGCTTCATCTGCCTTCTGTACCCAGACACCAAGATATTCCCACCCTGCTTCAGATGACGGAACCACTGCTGTGAACTCTGTCCCACAAGGAACAAACTTTTTTAGCTCCTCTTCCCAATGTTTAGTGTTTCGATTTTAGTCTAACCACTTTTTCTGCTGCTTCATTACCCTCCCACTTACAGATGATGAGGGGAAAAGTCCTCTGTCTGTGTAAATCCCTCTCGGAATTTCAATAGCAATAGCCTTGCCACAGACAGCAGCATGTCCCTGGCAATGAGGCAACACTGCACACAGGGATGGCTGTAATCCCAAGAACTGTATCTAAGGACTAACAGGAATACAAAGAAACTCCAATGTCAACAGGTATTTTGAGCTTTCCCAGCATACACACATCACAATATATATTTGTCAAGTTCTAGATGAAAGTATTTCAGTTCCCTCCTGTCCCATGGGAAGGAGTGCAAAGCCTGGTCTCCAGCCTGATCACTGACTAATGTGTGCAGGATGATTTCCATACTTTTGTGTCTTGTGCCAATGTTGTTTTAACTTAAACTTCTCAGATGGTCACTCTTGCTTTCACTGTTGGTGGGGGTTAATATCAGCCATCAACCACACACACAATACAGCGACTGTGAGCCAATAACTGCCACTAGAAAGAAATGCCCTTGTCAGATACAGTTAATTCATAGCTGTTTCGCTTTTTTATATATATTCTTCATTCCCCCCATTTTTAATGCAGATATTGGAACAGACAGTCTGCCAGTTCAACCGGATCCCAAAGCCGGCACCCTATCCATGCTCTTCCTTCCGCTCCCTAGCCAAAGACCCGAGGAGCAGGGGTTAGAAAACAAGGGGTTTTGCTTTTTACACGACTGGACATATACCTGCACACACAATCAGGAACCTGCTCAAAAAATAGCTACTAACTAGGTGAATACCTAGGTGTGGCAAGGAAGTAGCCTCGTTTTATATCCTGGGATACAGATTGAGACCTGATAGCACATGCAAATCTAATCCTGGAGGAGGGGCCTGCGTTCAGAATCACTCTGAAATCAGAACCAATGCTTCATTTGAGAAGCTTTGCAAAGCAAATAAATCAAGCCAGTCCAAGACTTTGGACTCCATCCACAGGATGTGGCTGTGATTCGGGGTGAGTTCACCTGGAAACCCCTGGAGACAGAGCTACACGCTGGCTCGGGAACCCGGCCCAGAGAGAGCCTTTTAGGGACATGGAATGTTTCCAAAATCAATACTGTGATGTTGTGGAAGAGCTCTGATTACAAACTGTCTGCTCCTTACGTAACAAAAGCTATTTCCTAAAGTGAAGCTTTTTGGAAGAAATGGGCTGCATCTACATTAGAGCTAATTAGTGGAGTCCTAGAGCCCAACAGCTGCTGCTGCAAACAGCTCTGTGGTCTCTGTGCTCTGCAGTGTTTATCCCAAGTGGCTCCAGTGATCCACAAGCACCCATGGAGCAGTAAAGTGCAGGAATCCTTCCTTCCTTAAAGGATGATCTACTTCTTTCCCACTTACTTCAGCTTTCTTTTTCCACCCTTTAATTTTTATTGCACAGAATCCCCAGGGTCACTGAACTTGGGAAAGCCCTCCAGGATCATGCAGTCCCAGCTGTGCCCATGCCCACCCTGTCCCCAGCCCTGAGTGCCACCTCCACAATTCCTGGGACACCTCCAGGGATGGGCACTGCAAACCTCCCTGGGCAGCTCCAGTCCCTGAGCCCCCTTTGCATGGGGAAATTCCTGCTGTGCCCACCCTGAGCTGCCCTGGGCCGGGCTGAGGCCGTTCCCTCTGCTCCTGTCCCTGTTCCCTGGGAGCAGAGCCCAGCCTATTCCCATTTCCCACCTTGGCCCTGGTGTCCCTTGCCCAGAAGGTCCCAGAAGGGGGACAGGGACAGGGATCAGTGCTCTGGTGCTCACATCTGTGCTCCCAGCACCATGGCACAGCTAATCCCTGCAAAAACCCAGCTGCCAACCACAGCCACGAGGCCAAGAACAGACAGTGGCTTGGTTAATCTGCACAGCCAGGCTGGCAGAGCTCTGGCTGAGACTGAGGGTACCCAGCCCATAAAAAGGCAAAGAACTCCCTGGGTCCCATTTGCCAGCACACAAACAAGCACCAGCACAAGGAAGATGTTGCCTCACTGAGCTACTTGCAAATGCCAAGCCCTGTTTTGAAACCATCAGCTACGAGTGGAAGATGAAAGTCACAACTGCAGACTGACAGCAGAAAACCCACATTTCTTTCAAATGGTTGCTAAAGCTTGCAGAGACTTGTGTGGAGACAAAGCAGGCAGCAGCAAGGAACCTGCAGGAGCTGTCCTTTGGAAAACTGCTCTGCAGGAACGGCCTCTGCACTGACCACAGCCTGCCAGCTTCCTAAACTCCTGTCAGGGACAGCCAGCAGGCAGAGATGGATCTCCAGAGAAAATACTACATTATGCAGCAAGGTCTAGCTCACAACGCTGTTATTATTACTGTGCTCCTATGCACACATATAATTAAGCACAACAAAGTGTAAATCCATATATACACAACCAAAGTAAGGCTACCAATTAGATACAAGGGGTGTGAATAATTTTGTATGCACCCTTGTGCCTACTCAAAACTTCCATCCAACTTCAGACTAAGTAAACTGCTAATGCCTAATGTTAAAATGAATAATATTCTGCTATTGCTATTGAAGGGGCAATACTGGCCTTTGCTTTACATATTAACACAGAAAGATCCTGAACTATCAGACCAAGTCTTTACTGGCTAATCAGTCACTGCTCCTCACTGAAAATTCCCGAAGAACTGTAACCAAGAATAAGAGAGGAAAAAAAAAAAGGATGGAAAGGAGCAGGGAAGAGAAGAAAATGCAAATCCTTTGGAGAGGAGGAGAGCCCCTGCTTCCCAGCAGGTGAAGGGAGCTGCTCTCAGCACACCTGCACTACCTGTTCACCAGAGGAAGTCAAGGAGGGAGTAAACCTGGCTGCTTTGGAGCCCAAGCTCTCCACACACACATTTACATCTTTTCCTGTAGAATCAGGCTTACAAACATTCACTGACTGCTTAACAGAGGTAAGAACTCAGAGAAGGTTAGGACACCAAGCAATGGCCCCACGAGTACTTTCAGCGGAAGTAATAACTTACTTTCATTTTACAAAGTTCAGTGTAATTACAGCTGTGCTATTTCTTACCATGAATTTGGGGCCTTTTTTATAATGGGAGATATTATTTCTACCAGCTCCATCCAAGAAAAAAAATATAGTTAATGAGCTCTGCAAGCTCCTTAATTATTATATAAAGACACCTATAGGCACACAGCAGCTGTCCTGACAGGGAGACACTGAGGCTGGACCTCTTGTTGTGGGACATTCTTAGGGATGACCCACACACAGGACAGCTGCCAGGGGCTCTGCACCACCTCTGTAAAACTGCCACACTCTCCTTTTTTTATTATTTTTTTTTCCCCATCCAAAAGCTTAAATATAGCAGGAGGAGGAGGCTGAGAGCACTTGGCATTTAAAGCTGCTGTGTAAGATCATAGAGTCATTGAATGGTTTAGGTCGGAAGGGACCTTAAATCCCATTCCATCCCACCCTTGCCATGGCAGGGACACCCTCCATGGTCCCAGGCTGCTCCACCCTGTCCAACCTGGCCTTGGGCACTGCCAGGGATCCAGGGCAGCCCCAGCTGCTTGGGCACCCTGTGCCAGGGCCTGCCCACCCTCACAGGAAGGATTTCTTCCCAATATCCCACCCACCCGTGCTGTTCCTGAGCCTCCCACAGGGAATGATAAAATCCCAGAATGGTTCGTTGAAGATGCTCCGGTCCCACCCTGCCGTGGCAGCGACACCTTCCCCTGTCCCAGGCGCTCGCAGCCCCCGTGTCCAGCCTGGCCCTGGGCACTGCCAGGGATGCAGGGCAGCTGCTCTGGCAGCAGGGCAGCATGTGCAGGCAGGCAGGCAGGATGCGTTCCATACGCGTTTCTAATGAAAGCACTGCGGTGTTCAAGGCGCTCCACCCGCGCGTCCGGGCCGGCCCCGCTCCCTCATCCCGCCCGCCGCGGCTCGGAGCCCGCTGAGCCGGACCCGAGAGGCACTTACTGCGGAGCGCCGGGAGCCCGCGTCCCTCTGCGGGCTGCTCGCCGGCCGCGGGAGGAGATCAGGAGGGCGGCTCTCTCCCTGCCCGCCCTCCGCCTGCAGCAGCCAGCCGGGCTCCCCCGAGCTCCGCCTCGAACACCGCCGGCGCCTCCCCGCCCTGCTCCCCGCCCGGGGCCGCGGCTGCCCCGCCAAGGCCGCGGGAGCGCCGCCACTGCGGCCTGGGCCCGCGGGGAGGGGCCCGCCGCGGCCTCCTCATCCCCGGCCTTGCGTGATGGGGGTCGCCGCCCATGGCGGCCCCTCCCCGGGGCCGCGCCCGTGGCGGGACCGGAGGCGGGACCGGAGGCCTGCGGCCCACGCGTGGGGCTCGGCTCCGCCGCCCGCGCAGCTGATCGGGGTCTTCAGCTGTCTGGGTGTCATTTCCAGTCAGTAAACAACTGCAAGGATTGGATTTCGTGAGTTCTGCAAAGTCAGTGATATTCAGTCACTGGTGATGGGAGCCGTGTTTATCCCAGGAACATTAGTGCTCTTAAAAGGAGCTAAGATCTCCAGTGGCAGCTGGAATTAGAAGATACTCTGGCTTAGAAACTGTCAGCTTAAGAGAAGGAATTGAAAAGAAAAGGGAAAAGACCAGACGATGATTCATTGTTTTCTAAGGGTATGGTTTTAGGGTGTGTGGTGTTTGGAGCACAAAGGAAGAATAATTGGGATACAAATAAAATAAAAATTTTTTTAAAAAAGGATTACAATGCTTTTTCTGGCAAATAATTTCATCGTGGCCCAACAAACAAGTTCTGGATGTGGATGCCTACCCCATGTATGTGTTCCAACATGGCACTAGATGTTGTTTCATCCATCTCTTAACAAATATTTGTTAGAGCTGGGAGAATCCTCTTTCCTCCCACCTCTCAAAGTGGTTGTCTACCCACATGCTGGACTATTAGTGTTCATGTATGACAAATTTTGATTGATACAGGGCAGTTTATGAGTGCAAAATGTATCTATGGCCGGTTTCCAAGTGGGCATTTTCTGCACCCCAGCACTGCTGTGTCTCATCAACTTTTTCCAACCTGCAAAATCTTGAAGGGGGTAGTTAATGACAGCATTGTACTACTCTCCTCATAAAGGGAAAGTGAAAACTTCATAAGGATCACGAGCAATCTCACTTTCTAGGGGAGGTTCTCCCCACCTTCACAGTGCAGCTACCAATAAACAGGGATGGGCTGCTCTCTCCCCTACTTTAGGCTTCTGTTCAACTACTACCGTCTTTTTATCTTAGTTACTGATTGTTTAACATTGGGCTGCATAAGTTTGAAGAGTGAAAGAGTTTTACAAGGTTAAGTAAAAAAATGAGATGCCTGAAAGTATTGCAAAATTCATCCCTCTCAAGTCTGTTTTTTATTTAATGCCTGGATGAAAATATTACCTCCAGAGCAAGTCTCCATGCGTGTGGCTTGGTCCCCGGGACACCTGCCAAGACAGGAATTTCAGATGCCCGAAATCATGTGCTCAGCAGGTGTAAATTGTGTGCAGGGAGAGTTCACCTTTTGTCCTCAGCCCCAGAGGCACTTTCTCTTCATTAGCAAGGGAAGATGGGGAAAAAGATCATCACCGTTTCCTGACTGCATGCCAAAGTTATGTATCATAAGAAGAAAATCTGTTCATACGTTCACAAATATGTTTTCTGCTAATCTGTCTTGAGGAAAATGTCTTTGTGAGGAGCAAGGGTGGTGGCAGTGGCAGGAGAGCTGAGACAAAGGGACAGAAGCAGATGCAGAATTTCACTGCTGGGATTTTCCCAGCAGGATCCAGGGCAGGTCCTGCCGATGGGAAATGCAGGTGGCTGGTGGTGGATGTGGTTAGGTGTGAAATCATCCCCATGTCGGGCCGAGGTGTCAGCCCAAGGCTTTCCCCGGGCTCAGTTTAGTGCCCCAGCAGCATGTGCTGCTAATGCTGCTGCTGCTGTGCTGCTAATGCTGCTGTGCTGCTGCTGCTGCTGTGCTGCTGCTGCTGCTGTGCTGCTAATGCTGCTGTGCTGCTGCTGCTGCTGCTGTGCTGCTGCTGCTGTGCTGCTACTGCTGCTGTGCTGCTGCTGCTGCTGTGCTGCTAATGCTGCTGTGCTGCTGCTGTGCTGCTGCTGCTGCTGTGCTGCTAATGCTGCTGCTGCTGTGCTGCTAATGCTGCTGTGCTGCTGCTGCTGCTGTGCTGCTGCTGCTGCTGTGCTGCTAATGCTGCTGTGCTGCTGCTGCTGCTGCTGTGCTGCTGCTGCTGTGCTGCTAATGCTGCTGTGCTGCTGCTGCTGCTGTGCTGCTGCTGCTCAGGCGCTCCCCTGCCCTGCAGCGGATAAATCCAGCGCTCTGAGGGGAGAAAGGGGCTGATTTTCCTGTTCTGGTGTGTTAGCACTGTAATTATGTCTGATTGTTGGCTGTCCCATCGAGATCCCGCACCAGGGCTGAGCTGCAGAAACAAATGCAGAAATTGCAGCTTTAAAAGAATAAGGTCGCGGGTCACGTTATTGGTGGCAGAACAAACACCGTAATTAATTGGCCTCTCCCTGCCATGGCAGCACAGGAGGGAATGGAAGGAAGGGATGTGGAGCATCTGTTTTTCTGGGGCAAATGGCCCAGCTAGGTCTAATGGACAACACAAATTCGTTGGTAAAGAAAAGAAGAACAGTATCTTTTAGAAAGCAAGACTGCTTGCACGAGTCGAGAGTAGTTATTTTCTCTTTAAACGTTTAAGGAGCTTTGTTGTGGTAGGAAATACAAGAAAAAGCCTATTAAATTTATTTTCTGTACATGTGCTGGAGTGAGAAACTGTATTCAGCAAAAGCAAGGCAAAAGGCTCTTCAGAATTTGTGCTGTATTATTTTTTTCCCTCAGACAATGACAGATGAAAACCAGCCCTGGTAACTGTACATGTCTGCTGTTTATCCAGGTATTTTCTCCATTGAATTGGTTAGGAAAAGCTTAGAAAACCTGTTCAAAGACATATACAGTGACTTTTAAAAATTCCCAGCCTGGCATCCTGTAATGAATAAATCCAGGATCTGAGTCTCCTATTTGCTTCCAATGCCCATTTCCCTGGCATTGCCTGCCTGATGGCTTTCCTTTGGGACACTTTAGGCAGGATCTGGGATGAACAATTTCAGGGTGTCATGCATTTATAAGGAACTTGCAGATTGCCAGCAACATCATCAATAATTGTGACGGGAAAAGTTATTTTAAATAACCACATGTATCGTTGTCAATTTAGTTTCGGTGACCTTTTGTGATCCAGAACGATTCCATTGAAAAAGAAAGGATATTGGAAAATCCCTGAGAGGCTGGTATCTGGAGCAATCAGCCTTCCTGGCTGGGAGTGGCAGGGCTATCTCGCCCCATTTCCCCTCAGCACCATTTTGACCACGCCAGCCATCCTGTACCTTGCCCGGAATTTCAGATTATGCTTTTTCATCTACTGAAATATTTCTCCCTGCAGATTTAAATAATTAATTGGGACGTGCCTGGTGGGTCTTGAGCTAAACTTCAGAGAGGCAGCAGATATGTGTGACCAAGTGACCTTTTGCTGTCCTGCTCGTCCCCGCGCGCTCGCTGTGCTCAAAGGGACGCTGTCAAAATTGCTAGGCCTTAAAACTTTAACCCGCACTGACAAGTTGTTCTACATTATAAGTCTCCCCTAAAAGATTACCGGGATTGTTTTGTTTGTTTTGTTCCAACCATCTTTGCTGAGGGCTCCACAGTACGGATTCATTTGTCCTTTTGGGTAGGTGGATATTTTTAAATGCCCGGCTCATTCCGTGACCTGTTAAAATCGAGTTGATGTGCGTGTGCCCCACTCAGGGGAGAACTCGCCGGGGATGGAGCAGTTTCTCTGCACTCTGCAAGAGGAGGCAGGAGCACGCCTGGGAAACCTTTATGGAGAGGCTTTGAGAAGCCATTTTGCAAGGCCTCTTGGTATCTTCAGTGCCTTGGAAGTCTTGGCTGGGCTTGTCTGGTGTGTGTGTTAGTGAAACACCAGCTGTTCCTACACAGAGGTTTGCTGTCTTTCATGGTGCTCTGATTTACCCATTGGGCTTTGTTTCTAAGATCTCTGTTTACAGAATCACAGAATCCCTGAGGTTGGAAAAAGCCTCCCAGCCCATGCAGTCCCAGCTGTGCCCATGCCCACCCTGTCCCCAGCCCTGAGTGCCACCTCCAGGAATTCCTGGGACACCTCCAGGGATGGGCACTGCAAACCTCCCTGGGCAGCCCTGCCAAGGCCTGACCACACTTTTGTGAAGAAATTCTTCCTGAATTTCTAAAAATTTTCAACCTGCTGTCCACCCTGAGCTGCCCTGGGCCGGGCTGAGGCCGTTCCCTCTGCTCCTGTCCCTGTTCCCTGGGATGATCCCAAATCCCCCGGCTGTGCCCTCCTGTCAGGGAGTTGTGCAGATCCACAAGGTCCCCCCTGATCCCCCTTTGCTCCAGGCTGAGCCCCTGCCCAGCTCCCTCAGCTGCTCCTTCAGGATGTCCATGGTTTACTAGAGCTCCACGTGAGGAGGTGGAGCAGAGCCAGCGGTACAGGTACAGCTGTGCTGTCACACTTCCCCATTTTCCTGTGCCAGGACAAAGATCAGTGCACTCCCATTTTATAAGGGGTGACTGCACAGTCCCTCCACGAGACAGGGGAGCACGTGTCCAAGGCAGCAGGCAGAGGGAAGCAGTGATAGCCCTGCCACACCCCAGGTCAGCCACACCTGCGCTTTTAGGCTTGATTTGAGCAGATTTACCGCTGCCTATCAACCCAGCCTTGTTCCTGTCACAGTGCACCAGCTGAGCTTGGGGAGAGAGGCTGCGGGTGGCCCTGAGCTGCAGCATCCTCCTCAGAGGGGCACAGCAGAGTCAGCAAAAGCACCTGAACCTCCTGGGCTCTGCCCTGCCAGGCCTCAGCCAGAAGCAGGGACACCTTCCACTGTCCCAGGCTGCTCCAGGCCCTGTCCAGCCTGGCCTTGGGCACTGCCAGGGGTCCAGGGGCAGCCCCAGCTGCTCTGGGAACCTGAGCCAGGGAAGGATTTATTCCACACATCCCACCTAAATTTCCCCTGTCAGTGTGAAGCCATTCCCCGTTGCCCTGTCCCTGCAGCTCCTGGTGAAGGGCCCCTCTCTGGCTCTG